CATAGTGGGTTGCAGAAATGCAGGCCCCACAGCCTCCTTTTCTTAATTAATTAATATATATATATATATATATATATTTATTTATTTATTTATTTAAGTATATGTGTATATAAACACTAAAATCAATATAAGCATGCGTGCATGCATGCGTGCAGGCTATGAAACAGTGGTTGCTGTTTGATAGGCGTTTTAGCGGATGTAGCTTGCGGGTTTATCTAACCTATATAACCTGAGCACAGCGAAGGCACGAACGAGAGCTGATCTTGACGCTCGGCATCTGTGGGGCAAAATAGTGTAAGTCCACATTTACAGCGATCACTTGGAGCGGACAGCTTCTGCCGAAAACGCTCATCTCCACCACAAACAGCTCGATTTATTAATCCGCAGCAGCCGATCACCGTTCAGGGAGCCAAGCCGAAGACAGATGATAATGCTGCACGGAAAACTGAATCAATCGGGAGAACGAGGCAAGAACATCAACTCGAAGTCTCTCTAAGTCAACGCTTCCGGATCTTAGCCCATGGTTGACATTCAGGATTCAAGTCCCAGGCAGAGCTACGCTGCATACTGCACCCCGCTACGCTGTATCTTGCACACAACACCCCGAGCGATCATGAAACTGGTTTGGGTGAGGAAGTACCAGCCCGTCTTCGTGGAGCCCCACAGGGATCTGATTCCGCCGAAGCCGCACCATGCCATCGTGCCTGGGTCGGCATACATGAAGCAGAAGCCGTCCAGAAGGGCTGGCTGTGTGGTTTTGGGAACGTGGTATATACACTCTCCGCCAGAAGGCCGAAGTCCTGTGCCGCGTCTGCTGAGGGCTCATGAGATAGCATGTACCGGACATGATGGAAACCACGAGAGCCATTCTACGCATCTCAAACATTTCCTTCGCTTGGTCCGCTGGTTCAGCTCCTCAGCAATCGGAGCACCCTGGCTAGCATAGGTGTTGTGACTATGACTGCTCCTGTATGCATACTTGCATTGACATTGGTACCATCGTTGTTAAGTGTTGTGGTCACAGGGTGTGGCCAAATCCCCAAAGGCTAGCAGTCCTTTTAGAGGGACGCGGCGGGAGAAATACAGAGAATGAGGCAAACATTCAAAATGTTCTCTTGTGCTGTGCTATCAGATGCTGCGTCAGTTTTCAGAGCGCCAAGCATATAAACAGCAATGCCATGCAATGCCTGTCGGCCCACACAAAGACACTGCAACATAAGCACGCCGGCAAAAAGCACCCACACACCCACATCACATTGACTGGGAACCCATCTTGATCCATCTTGCCTGCGTGTTGCAGCCTCTCTCAGTTTGATGATTCGTGCAAGCTGTACACTGTAGTGATGGAGTGGCTTCGGACCCGAGCCACACAGATATTAAGGCTGATCGTATGGCCCGTACTCGTCAGTTAGCAGCTATAGTCACTGAGTTATACTCAGGCTGTCCTACCCGTGCAGACCACAAACGAGCTGACAATGCAGAAAGTCAGTATACCTCAAGCCAATCACCCTTACACACCCGAATCAGGTGACGTGTTAACGTACGAAGTTACGTGGCACTGTCCATAGTCTGCATCTTTTGCGAGTTCCGCATGCAGAACCTCCTGAATGCTGCCAACTATGATTCCTTCCTCAAGATGCAGCTGCAAATGCCAAAGCCAGCGGACCTGCACAGAAACTGTCCACTGGGAAAACGCGTCCTGGCATATCGTGGAGAAAGGGGATGCACACCGGAAAAGCTGTCGTGTTGGCGTAATGCAACCATAGCAGATGGACCCGGCCGCAAAGATGCTTACATCACCGTGCTTTGGGCCGATGGTTTGACAAGGTACCAGCGGCTGCATGCATCCTATGCGAAGAGGCACGATACACACGCTCGATGCTTGCCACCACACGCAGTCAGTGATTACAACCGCTGTGCAAGAGAGCCTTGCACACACATGCATGACCGTCTTGTGGATACGCTCCTGATTAGGAATCCCATGGGAAGAACAAACGGGTCCGTCGACTGCCCTGCTGTTCAAAGGGAGAGGAAAGTAACGAATGGGTCTTGCTCGGAAGTGTTACAGCATTGGTGCCCGGTGACCTGCGCTCGAATTAAGAAGAGAGTTGCCCGACGCCCAGCCGAAAAAGACCATGCGACCTGCATGTCGCCAATGAAACTGCTTGAGCCACTGCGGCGATTCGCGAAGTGGAGGTGGCACTCTCAGCAATACCAGGACTCCATTTTGCATTTCCTTTTCCTATCTCCTTCGTATGCCTTGCCACCACGCAAGACAGGACCGCCTTTCTATGTGGAGTTTGGCTATCATGGAGTGCAGGACAGCAATACGGAGTATTTACGGCAGGCGGGTTGGAGCGGTGTGAGATTCGATCGCTTCTACCATCAGCCGGAGAGTGGACTGTTCAGGCAGCACATAACTGCTTCGAACATCGGGGCAGTCTTCAGAAGGTATAGGGTGCCATCAGATTTGGATTTTGTTTCTATTGACACGGACACGTGTGACTTGTGGATCTTTGCCGCCCTCGTGGCGCCTGAAACACGGTTCCGACCACGTGTTGTCCAGATTGAGATGAATCGCCATGATCCACTGGAGGTGGATCGCGTCCTGAACTGTACATCGGGTGCGTCTCCGGAAGAGACGTTCCCTGAGCACAGAAGAGAGCTGGGACATATCAAGTACAATATTGAAGGGGCATCGGTTACAGCCATAGCAAGGGTTGCCAAATCTCGAGGATACTCCGTGCTGTATGTGGAGCCATGCTACGATGTGTATTTGTTGCGGTCAGATCTCGTATGTCACGGAGAGGAGCATCGATCGCTGGAACCTTTCCGAAATTCCTTTGCCAGACCAGGCGAGAAGCTATGCGGCGACATGCACGAATGGGTTGCGAAGAACTTGACACAAGACCGCGTGGATCGATGGTGTATGACCTCAGATGAGATGATGGAGGCACTGCGCACCGGTCATAAGCGATGAGTGGCCAGCTGCAGCTGAAAAAATCGCAGAGCCGATCCCAAAGCGAGGCTTTTATGTTTCTAGTGCTGAAAAGTTTGAGCCTAAACCCCGATTTGTAAGCCCATAAGCCAAGTTACGGTTTCTTGGTTCAGGATGTTGGGATTTAGAGTACGACGCTGCGCCTTACAGGGCCGTTTCCGGCTTGGGAGTGCAAAGTTTCGCGGGTTAGGGGCAGGGAAGCTGACCTTTCATGGCCCCGAGGTCTGCCTCGTCTGAGTGGCCTGAGATCTGTTGGGGTCCGAGGCCAATGAAACCCGACAGTTCAGAGTATGTAGGCTTTTAGGTTGGGAGTTTTGGTGGAGAAGTGCAATCGTGCAGGAGAACTCCAAAATATCAAGACCGTACATGCCGTCCAGAACCCCATGAAGGTGAAAGTATCGCGCTTCCCGGGTTTAGGAGGTTTGTGGGGCTTGTCCCTTGCCAGAGCAAGCGCACACAAAAGAACTTCAAGCTACTACAACAAGGTGCGGACCCTCGCTCGGATACTATCCTTCTACGTTGAGACCATCTTTGAGCTGATCCGCGTGTCGAACAAGGTCGGGCCATGGGTTGAGGGCTTAGGATCGCATGCGTGGCGCGCGCATCAGTTTTGGGTCTTCGTGGTTGCCAGCCATCGCAGCCAGTTGGGTATGGAAGACTTTGTTGAGCATGTGGCGTCACAGTGGCATCACTGCACGGAGTTACTGCATGCCTGCCAGCTGACTTCGTGAGGGGAGTGTAATGACATCAGTGCGGACACGCTGAAGATGTGCATGATCACGTCCCTCTAGTCTTGATGTGGGTGTGGAAGAGTCTTCGAGCTTGAGCTTTGAGTCACCTAGTTTGTGCTGTGTTTTGCAGAGCATGCATGCTCCTGTGTCCGAGATGCGACCACACGAAACGCTTTCCCCACTATATTGCAGCCGCGGTTGCTGGCGGCATGTGAATGTAGAGCCTTTACGTCTCGCATGGTTCGTGAGCTCCATCGTTTTAGTGGCGCCGTCCTCATACAAACCAACCTGTGCAGGGACCGCGAAAGGCCCGCAGTAATCACCGTCGTAAAACCATTCGGATGCAGGACTTCGGGTACCTGGTGGAGATCGCCCGTGCCTTTGACAGAAGCGGGTACTATGCAGTAATGGTGGTTGTGATGTTAGTCGTTTTCTGGCACTAGTCCTAGTCCTCGCCCAGTCCTGGAACGAGCACTGGCACTAGCACTAGCACTATAGTAGCACTATCGTAGTCGTCGTCGAAGTAATCCTCGTCTTGATAGCGTACTAGAAGAACTGGTTGTACCAGTAGTACCAGTAGCACAAGTAGTTGTACTTGTAATGTTCGTAGCACTTGTAGTACTTGTGGTACTTGTCGTACTAGTGCTTAGTACTAAGTAGCACTAGCAGCAGCACAAGTTTTAGCACAACTAGCAATCATATGAAGTTGAGTGTATCAGAGGTGGGAGGTGGTGGCAGTAGTAGCAGCAGAAGCAGCAGCAGGACCTGTAACACAAGAAGCGTTAGCCTGTTGCAGCAGTAGCGGCAGCAGCCGTATCAAGCACTAGCTGCGGCAGTAGCGGCAGCAGCAGCATCAGCAGCAGCAGCAGCGGGAGTAGTTGTACTTGTAGAAGAAGAAGAAGAAATCGCAGTAGCAGTAGCAGTAGTAGTAGTAGTAGTAGTAGTAGTGGTGGTAGTAGTAGTAACAGTAGTAGTAGTAGTAGTAGTAGTAGTAGCAGCAGTAGCAGTAGTAAGAGTAAAAACAGTGGTAGTACTAGGAGTCGTCGTAGTCGTAGTCGTAGTCGTAGTCGTAGTCGTAGTGGTAGTGCTAGCGGTTGTAGTTGCTGCTGTTGTTGTTGGTGCTGCTGCTGCTTCTGTTGTAGCTCGGGCTTTTGCTTTTGCTTATGAACTTGTTTTTGCTGTTGCTACTGCTGCTACCGTTCTAGCAGCAGCAATGGCCACTATGTTCGCAGGTTTTTCGCCAAGTGTAACAGTCAAATCCCAAGCCGGGCCAGCGAGTCAATGATGTCGTCAGCTCCACCGAAAAGAAGGCATGGAATATTGAGTACCAGCAGGACGTAGTAGGACATACAGCTCAGGAGATAGTCCTTGGATGCAGCTCCAAAGTAGGTGTACCCAATGTAGGTGTAGGGCGTTCAGGCTTTCAGGGTCAATATGCTGTGGGAGCAGGGCAGCACATTTGGAGAAGAGCGGGGTTTCGGATTTGAGGCGTTCGGATTCAAGTTTGGACGCACGTGGGAAAGGGGAGCATTCGTGCACTCATCGAGACGTTCATTAAACATGGGCAAGATTTTCGAATCAGCGAATGAGGTCGAAGAAGCCCAAGGCCCTAGAACAAGCTCCCGAACCCGGAGTTTACATATTGTCTGAAAAACCGGACAACTCTTGCGTTGTTCAGTTATGACAGTGGAGATGTGACACCCAATCAGGCTGATCGTCTAGACATGAATAGAACATGGCACAGCACATACCGCTCCAAGACCAACTTCTGACACCTCTCCGACCGTCCCGTAACCTTTTGTCAATATCTATGTCTATATCTTTATGCTAATACCTACAATTATATCTACAGCTCTAACTACATATATATATATATATGTATATACACATACATACACACCTACATTTATTTACATACAATGCACCTCATACACACATATCCCATGGTCCTCTCCTATAGACTCTGTCAACAACTCTGCCTGCGAGCCACACTCCTTCGGGGATCTTCCAAAAAACACCACAGCGAACCCACACACCATGGTGAGTCCTGCGCTTTAGGGCTTTAGGGTTTGGGGGTTGTAGGGTTTTAGGGTTTCGTAAAGGGTTTAGGGTTGTAGGGTTTAGGGATTTCTTAGGGATATAGGGCTTTAGGGCTTTAGGGTTTAAAGCTGTTTCGCTTGGCAGTGCTATGTCGATTTGAATACAACTTTCGAAACTTTGCCGCAGACCTTGTGCCAGCCCAACCACACCCTTGTTCACAGAACCCTAAACCTTGAACCTTATTAACCCAAAGGCCGCATGATCATCACTCCAAGAAGCCTGGGATTAAGGTCCAAGGCGGGAGGGGCCTTACTTCAATACAACACGGCATAAAATGAGGAACCCTCTCAAAGAATGTATTATGCTGTCGACTTCTACACATTCTGGGTATCTGGTAATTCGTAACTTTAGGCTAGTAGTGAGAGGAGTCCTTCCAGAGAAGGCCCACCACCAACAGCAAAGGCGAGATCACCAAGTTTTGGATGGCGATGGACTGCATCCTTGGATTCTGAGACAGCTTTCGGGTTTAGGGTTTAGGGTTTAGTGTAGGACTTTACAAGACGTAGATGCTAGAGACGAAAAAAGGGTTTCAGCGAGTTTGATTAAACCCTAAAACCCTAAAGCCCTAAAACCCTAAAACCCTAAACCTCAAAACCCCTAAAACCCTAAAGCCCTAAAACCCTAAAGCCCTAAACCCTAAAACCCTAAAACCCCACTCCCCGAAACCTTAAAAAACCCTAAAACCCTAAAGCCCTATAATGAAACCCCAAAACTCTCAAGCCCTAAAGCCCTAAACCCTAAAACCCTCAAACCCTAAAGCCCTATAATTAAACCCTAAAGCCCTAAAACCCTAAAGCCCTATACTTAAACCCTAAAACCCTCAAACCCTCAAGCCCTAAAGCCTAAAACCCTCAAACCCTAGGGTTCCCAGAGACTCCAACACCCCTTAATTAAGGAATATACCTGAAATCATATTAGGGATCCTACTATACTTTAAGGTATATTCCTCAATTAAGGGATAACCCTAAACCCTAAAGCCCTAAAACCCTAAAGCCCTATATTTAAACCCTATAACCCTCAAACCCTCGGGTTTAGAGGCCCTGGGAAGCCAAGCCCAGGGACTTGGCGTGGCAGGAGCTGAGCTCTCCGCGAATGGCAGCGCCAAAGATTAGCCTTGGCTTCCGCACGCATAATATAGAAAAATACATACATACATACATACATACATACATACATACCGACATACATCCATACATACATACATACACATATGTATATATAGAGTAGGGTTTGGGGTTTAGGGTTTGGGGTTTAGGGTTTAGGGTTTAGGGTTTAGAGTTTAGGGTAGGGGTTCCTTCGCAAGGTTCCTATGAGGGTTATGTAAGAGTCAGTGTAGGGGTTTAGCGTGAGGATCTAGGGGTCCTTAATGATTCGACTAGGGTTTGGGGGCGCATACTGCACTACAACAATGATCAGGAATCTCGAAATAGTGTTGGTAATAATTTGGGACCCTACTATACTAGGGCGCAGTCTCGAACTCTAACATTTTACTGGGTTGTTCATGGTCATTTGCGTTGTTGGGACAGTATATGGTTTTGTAGGGGTTCACGGACCTTGTGAACTGGAGGATTTGGGGTGGTGTAGGGTTTAGGGTTTAGGGTTACATTCTACTCGAACCATCTTACCCAGACCTCCATGGTAGAGCTTACGGCTTGGAGTATTACCGCGCAGGTCGGAGAACTCTGCAAATCTAAGAGAATGTCTACCCTAAACCCCGTTCCCTAAACCCGAAACCCTAAAGTCTAAGCCGAGCCCTCC